ACAAGTTTAATTTATATCACAGTTATTACAAGACCACTCAGATTAGTGCCACTCATGCCAAAATCATCAAATGCTTTCATCAACCATCCAGGTAATTGAGTTGTTAGTTTTCCTTGCTTTCGGTCATCTATCTGTGTTCCATGTTATTCGGTAAGCATTAGTTACTCGCAAATTTTTGACATTTTTCTATTAAAATTACATTTCGGTTATTTAGAATGAGTTCACCTAGAATATATGGGCAACCAAAAAAACAAAAAAAAAAAACGTTTTTTCACATCCGTTTATTTGTATGTACTATTGTGTAAGTGATGTTCAAAATAAATGGCTGAAATGACGGTAACTTTTGCTAAGCGCCGGCGAAGGTGATAGCAGAAAAAGCATTAATGTTTGCATGAATGTATGGTAGGTACGTATGTGGTGAGTCCACCCTATGTAATTGGGTTCGTATCAGTGAAGCTGAGTTGGCAAGTTGCATTTGAAAGACGTTGACTGATGATGATGTGAACTGGCAACAGCGATGCATTCGCAATGCGGCCAAGTGCAGGAGCAAACTGTATGATTCTGTGTAGGATACCGTATGGCTGGTGGTAATTTTGTACATTATGACAAGCATATTGCATGCTGTCTATAGCATGTGAGTTGGCCACAAATGCGCATATTCCTACATATATGTATCTATGTACATATGTGTGTGCAAATGGATATCCGTAGACAGGTATAGGTTAGAGTGGCTAGTTGAAAGTGGTATATTATCATTTGCACTTTTAAATAATCGAAAAGCGTATTACATATTATGGCTTCTTGTTGGCCTAGATTATTGGTAGGGCAATTCTGGCTATGATAGGTGAAAGTCTTTTGTAAGACAATTGAAAGGGGAAGATAGTTTGAACATTTTTTGGTTTATTCTGGCACAAAAGTCTTACAAAAAAGCTGCCGGTCATTGTGAAAAGCTCTATTGACAAAAAGCACTCAAACTCAAAAATATTTTTACTAAATTAAATTTTTAGAACCATATTTTTACCAGTTTTTTAATGAATTTTTTTGACGTAGAATACGTCTTACCTTAAGGTATGGGGGCTATGATCAAATGTTGTAGTTGTAATTTTTAGAGCTTCACAAAAACGCTTATTGCACGAGAACTAATAAAGCGATTTCAAAGAAAAGTGTGGCGTTTCAAAGATAAAATTCCAAACCTGTNGATAATTTGATTTTCTTTTAATTCTAGGATTTATTGTTTGAAGAAGTATAGATATATATCGAGGGCTTATATTCAATACAACCAATTTGAAATTCTCAGAAAACTGAGATTCTGATATAAAAATCCACCTAAGACTTAACAGTCATCGATGATGTTACTGTTGAGCTTGTATATCGCTTGTTAGAAGAATTTGTTATTGCTAAGATTAACATCAGTTATGACAGTTAAGTTCCAGTTGGTTTCTAACATCAGAAAGTAATTTTTGTGTTAATTGTAGATAGGTTGTATTGAATATATGTAAGTCCTCAATATGTGTTTTTTTATTTCTAGAAACTTATTTTATTTTCTTATACATACTAATTCTTTCTTTTTTAATTTAATTTTTATCTTTTATTTTTTATTTTATTTATTCATCTGGACTTTTAAATTTTGAATGCCAAAAAATTTTAATGAGATGTCTAAAATTTTTTAGCTACTTAAAAGTATACATATTTGGTTTCCTCTGTAGATCGGTTTGTACCTCAATCGTTGTCCTCGTGCTCAATCAGCAGAAGGCCCAGGAAACGTGCCACTCCGACGGGGGTTAGGCCAGAAGGAGTTGGGCGTTAGTTGAGTTTGGTTTTGCGGGAATGTGAAGAATCGTGCGGATTTGTTATGCTCAAGTATGAGTTAAGCCTGCTGCAGTAGCCAGAATGAAGTTGTACAAGTGTGATGCGAGTCTTTCGAGGCAGTTGAAGGTCTGTCTCGTCAACGGTTGGTGGTTGTTGTCCTAGAACTGCACTCACAGGTCAGAAGTTGGTGTAGAGTGAGACAGAATCCATGTGAATGCCGTTTATGACTTGTCTGTACAGAGCCGGGTCAAGTAGTTGGTCTAGGGCGAGGGCACTGCCGAAAGCAGGTGTTGTTGTTGCATAGCATAATGTTGTGCTCCCTGATAGCGAGCATTTGGGCCTCGCTGTGGAGATGGTGTTCTGGCGACATAAGAATGTATCCCGTAGCTCTGCGGAGTGCTGTATTTTGACTGACTGTTACGGGAGAATCGCATCCACTGCGCCCTTCTAGTCTCCAGCGAGCGCACAGGCACTGCATAGTTCAGACCCGGCTGGCCATTGTCTTTGTATGTGTCCAACAACGTTTCTTGGTCTTTGTCCCAAGTGCTGACGGCTAGCGATTTGAGCACTTTGCTGCGGCTCTGTACTTTATTGACAATTGCGGTGGTATGCAATTTGCTCGCCATCGACGTGAGCTCGCAGGCTCTTTGCAGTGAAAAAACGCGAATGTTCGGAGAGGTAGCCGTTTACCTTTGGACTCAGTTCATCAATTCCATTTCCGGACGCCATTTTCGATAAATTGTCAGCGTATGAGATGTTGGAGACTCCCTCAGGTGGTAGAGGGAGTTTTGAGATGTAAAAATTAGACAGAAGCGGGGAGAGGACAACCCCATTTGGAACTACCTGTTTAATTTTATTCGGCTCAGATGTTTTTTCTCTGAAGATTACTCATACGCAGTGCTGTACATTGATATAATTGACCTACATATGACCATGCCAAGATCAGACTATTTCTTTTTAAATACACACTATTTTCGAACACAAAAAGGAAAGACAAAAGGGATATTTACATAACAAATCCAAAATCACCAATTCTGGCGAACAAATTCTTTTCGTCATTGCCTGGGCTAACATACAGAAACTTGACTTGATGGATCGATGCGACACAGTGTAGAAAATGAACCTGACTTGTGACAAAATCAAATATCTCGGGAGCACGAATAGACAGAAAATTTTTTCTGGCTTACCAATTACATACTTAAGCTTTTGAATACCGTTCTTATTTCGCTTTCTATTTTCGTTCTCGAGATATTCGATTTTCTCTCTAAAAATTCCATTTTCCACTTTGGGAGTATTCGGCCAAGTAGTTCTGGTAAACTCGATCCACACAATGATTTTTGGAATATTTATTTAGGTATTATGTGCTGGTGTTAAATTAAAAAAATTGGCAAATTGTTGTTGGATTTGGATACTCATTTTATCTTTTCATTAAACAGTTTGTCATATTTGCCACCAAAGAGCATTTGGATTATTTATATTTATTTTTTATTCTGTTGTGCTAAATAGTAGAATATTGATTACATTTTGCTTCGAAACTAAGCACCGTAGTTAGTTAATATGCAAAAAGTAACTTATTAATTCAACAGGGGAATTTCCCAACTTTGAAGGCCTATAATACTCTGCTTTGCAGTCTATGGTGAAAAATTAAAAATATGTTCTGCCGATTTTACTACTGTTATATGGATTATATACATACATACATAAGTGTATTTAAGACCAGAGTGGACTGCGATATAGTATAGTATACCCTAATTTAATGGGCTTATTACATAAATTGAAAAGAGCACTTGCTATTTTTCTAAGCTTGACGAAATGAAAGGTGTCTCCCAATTAACGCTGTTAATATCGATATCACGATCTTTTTACCGCATTGAAACTATATTCGCTGTGTGTTTGCGGAAGTCCCTTCACCACATAGACAATGTAGTTGGGCAATAGAACTAATGAAGGAAGTCACTAAAAAGTGGGAGCCGGTTAATAATGCAGTCACAATTGAGAATATTGTACGAGCAGAGTCGGAGATAATGTCGCATATTTACGTGCAGATTAAATATCGATCTTATTGAAGTGCACTAAGAGCTATTAAGATGCAATAAGTGTCACAATTTACCGAGGTACATCATCAGCTAAGGCAAGCAGCCGTTAAGCGGTAGGTCGACGTGACATGGCGGGCGAGGATGGTTTCAAGTTGGCGTAATTTCTAACGCTCGGTAACGGTAAAGCTTCGCGCTCAAATCAACTAACGGGAGGAAACGGTAAATGACTGTAGGCGGCCTGTCTCTAGGCTTAGGGCAATTTAAATGGACAATTATTTTTTATTTTCAATCAATTTCAAAAAATTAAAATAATAAAATAATTTTTCACTTAAATTGCTTTCGTGAAATTGGCTGTAAGTCTTAGAGCTAAAGCAGAATATCATCGATACTTGGGAGAAAGTGAAAACTGTTTACCCAAAACTTTACGGACTTTTAAAAAAATACTGTCATTCAGTTGGTACCTCGGTGCCGGCTGTGCGCCTTTTTTCAAAAGCTGGTGCTACAGCCACCAAGAAACGCAACCACTCAACAATAAAACGCGCATCAAGGCATTCGTTTTTGCGAACATGCTTTAATAATAATAATTATCGGCGCTAAAAATATGCGTTTTATTTTATTTAAAGCTAATTAATAAGAGAATTAGAAATTTTCTATAGAAAAATGTTTTTTGTGAATACTCACTGTAAAAAGTGCCTTTGGAAATTCGATCAATTTCTCAATAATTGGAATTCACGTTTTTTGCCTTGTGATTAATCATATGATTAATTAATCGATTATTTTATTTTTTTGCCATCCCCATTCTCAGCATACTTGTTTCCGTGAAGCAAAATTCAATAAACTAATCACAAAAAACTCGCAGACATTCACTGGGAAATATCATTGAAAATTACCAACTTTTTTTAAACAGCCATAATTTGATTTGATTGATTTTCCACTTTCGAGTTAACAATTTTTTTGAAGTTTGAGAGAAGGAGTCCTGCTCGTTTTGTAACATTGAATTCTATAAATTTCATTATTCGACTTTTTTTGGGTCATTCACCACTAATTAACTAAGCGACGTGTTTGCATACAAATAGCACACGCCATGTACTATCTACAACACAATAAATAAATAAACAACATTTTAATGCCAAAAATTATAAACAGCACACTCACATACGCATACACACTTAACCTTTTCACTTTCGTGGCCGCTTTTCAAGGACTGCGCCAATTGGCGCATTCAACCACTGCCACACTTTCACCGCCAAAGAGTCCTTCAGCGCTGGTCGCACTCACATAACAGCATGTAAATAATATCTATGTACATACATATACACACGAATACACTTCAGCGCAAATGGCGCCCGACACACGAAACACGCCGCATAAAAGTGAAAGTGGAAAGGATCGCTTAATCGGGCGTGGAATTGTCGTTTTTTTTCATTTCACATTCGCGGGTCTTGTGCGGCAGTTGCACGTTGCAATAAAAGTAAAAACACGCAAAAATAAAGAACGCGATTTGATTTCTGTTTGATTGAGCATTTAATGTTTAATGTTTGAAGCACTCAAGGATAACGATGATGGCACTGCAGGTGAATGACTGTTAAAGAGGCAGAATTGAAATTTGGTTTGTCGTCAGCAGAAGATATTGTTTGTGCACGCGCGCCACAGCAAGCTTGTTGATCTAATTTAGATTTTTGAAAGGTTAAACACACGTGTATTATCTTTGCGCATATCCTTTGCGTATATCCTTGCAAATAACCTTACACATATCCTTTTTCGCTTGCACAGCTGACTTGTTTGGCCATTTTTCAGCACAAATTTAGATGTAGAAAAAATTCGATTATATTGTATTTGCTATACAGTACGAAATTTTCCGAAAAATATTTACTCACATACACATAATGATTTTCTTAGTACACAACTACTAGATACTTTAAAAGTAGGTTACTTGAGTTTAATGTACCACATCAGCGACATTGCATTAAATTCATTCATATCCTTCGCACGCCTTTATTGGCTTATCCTTGCACAGGCGAGTGTGTCTATCAGGGCGGCCCTTAAAAATATTAGCATCTCAATTTTGTGTGGGGCACGCCATTTTATTGTTATAGGTACAAAATAAAGGCAGCCACGAAAATTTCAAAATTAAAAAAATAAAATAATAATAATTTAGGTGTCGCCAAGGGCCGTTTCCTGATTGCACGTTAAACCGGTGCTTTGGGTTTGAAAAAAAAAAAGAGATTATTTTTTATATTGCAAAAACTCGACAAAATGCTGACATGAAATCTGAAATATTATTCATATCAATTCCTAGTTGGTCAAGGTAAAAAATTTGTCGAATTTTTGCGATGTAAAAAAATAAAATTTTTTCAAATTATTTTTCATATCGCAAAAACCCGACAAAGTGCTGACTTGAAATCTGACTATTATTCATATCAATTCATAGCTGAAAAGTAAAATTTTTGTCGAATTTTTGCTATGTAAAACAAAAAAAAAAATTTCAAACCCTGGTAGCGCTCGCTAATATTAAAAAATTTATCAATTTTTTTTTTGATGTCTATACTGTACGTAGAACAAACCCCCCACAATGTAGATATTTTTCAAGGACCACCCTAGTGTACATACATACATACAAACACTTTCAAGCGCACCTATTCACAATCAATTGTTTATGCGTTGCCTTGTTGCCGCGCCACGTATCCTTTGCGTTGTCCTTGGACGTGCGCGCGCAAATCGCATGACATCACAGCAACATTTTATTTTTATTTTTCCATTTGCTTTCCACTTTACGCATTTATTTTAATTTTATTTTCATTTTTATTGCACTTTTTTATGCTTTTACTGCAAAGTATTCTTTTTTATTTAATTTATTTTTCTCTTTTTCACATTGAATTTCATTACACACCAGACTTTAATTGCCTGTTATTTGCTTTTATTGCAGCAACTACACACCAACACCACAACCACCAACATTGCATATCCTTAAAGGACACTCTACACTTTGAATTCTTCACACTACACTTTTTTGCTTTGCTTGGCTTAGCTTTGCTCTGCCTGACTTTTGTTGCTATTTCAGCCTTTGCGCGCGTTCCCGTTCGTTTAGTTTGTTCAAGTGCCGCTTTCTGCTCCGTTTGACCTCCGACATACGACTAAATTTGTCGGAATTGGAAAAGTGGTGCCTTAGTGGCTCAATGGCTAAATAGCTGAATGCCGCCTCAGCGTTGACTACTTGAATGTGTGGTTAAGTAGCTAAGTGGTGCGGTGGCAGTGGCGGCGGCGGTTTAACTCAGCTGTTGCGCCATACACTTGCTTTGCTAGAGCTACATACATACATACATACATGCGTACTATTTATGTTTGTGCGGCTGTTTGAGCGCTTATAAGCATACATATGTATGTGTGTGCTAAGCCTGCTAGCTAGTTAGTTAGTTAGTTCATTCGTCGGTTAGGTGGCGTGCTTAGCATGTCAGCGTAAGTGACTAGTAAAGTAAATGCTATAATTTCAGCCGAGACCGCGGGTTACTAATACAAAAAAAAGAAATGGCAACGAATAACTACATACATAGCTACATACACACATACATCCACACATAGGCACAATGTACCTTGTCCGTGGAAAGCGACACACTGGAATATCCGGGTGCATGTGGGCGTGGGTGTTTGTATATAAACCGACATGAGACAATGAGCCACCCAGCAAACCAAGTTCTGGGAATTTGTTTTAAAAAAGCAAACGAATAGAGGAAGTGTTCTGTATGAAGTAATTTGAAACGAAATTTCGTGATGCCTTGCCTTGATTGAAGTTGAATCGTTGGGGTCTTTCGTTCGGAGTTGATTTTTTTATCTTTTGTGTAGCCGAAGCGAGGTCAACTGTGCTTGGAAGATTAATTTCCTTGCCAGTAAAAAAAGATATACAAAGAGCATGATCTGTCTAAGATCTACCCCATCTCCCCAAAAAGTACAGTGTTCTGAGTTTACCAACTCAGTAATTAAAGACGACGGACCGTCTACCCATTGGCATAAAAAATTTAGTGGCGGACCCACAAACAATCGCAGCTATGTGTCCTCCATCCTTGCCTCGTCGATGTACCAATGTACATATCTGAGACAAGACCACGCAGTCTATTTTCCCAGATCTCTCAGGCTGCTATTTTGAACTAAATTTTTCTGCCAAAACTCATTTCTCTTAGCATAGCGAGAGTAAATAAATCCGCATCTTTTCAACACCAGTTTTTTACCCAATATACCGAGCATCACGGTTAGATAAGTTTTTATTGATCCTGCGACAGAGAGTAAAGCCCGGATTATAAGTTTATTGAACCGCGATATGATATTTTTATTGTAGTGGTTTGTCTTCCAGACTATGAAGGCATAAACGAGAACCAGACGGACAATCAATCGGTGTGGAAACCTTTTGTAATCGCATCAAATTTCAGCCAGATCGATTGATACTTTTTACTAATTCCAAATTGAGCTTGAAGTTTTGAAATTTACACAACTTCTCACAACTGGCTGTAACTGCTTCGACGTCTTCTATCTTAACTTCATTTTTCGAACTGCTGACTTTCGCTCTGTGTACCTTTAGTTGTTTACTAACCTGACCTCGTTTTCTACCTGCTTCATTGCTGTGTCATTGCTTTCCTTTTGTAATAATTTTTCGTATTAGGCTCAATGCTCTACACAAGAAGTGTTCCCACTACAAAGTGCCCCCCGTACTTTACCGCAGTTTCAACTGCCTATGCTGGGTTTTCAGCACAGGTGTGTTGGCGTCCATTTTGGGGAACTCTCGCCCAAGACTCCTTTTCTTCCTTGAAATTGCTAAGATACTAAAATACTACCAGATTCTCTATGCTCTACTAAACTAAGTAGCTTTAAGTACAGATTCCATATCCAACCAAAATGTCTTCCAGGGGCCCTAATGGCTCGACTTCCTCAAAGCATTCAAGCTGCCTCTTTAGCTAATACTAAGTCGTTCTTAGTGAATACATATTTCCTACCTCTATGCATTCTGCCAGAGATCTGCCTTCGCCTGCCGCTCAGACCATATCAGCGTAAATAATTCTCAATGGATTTTTAGTAGTTTTCGAGCTAAGCGTAGGCCCTAACGGAGCATCGCCATGCTTCAGAGCTCGGTGGTTTTTAGAGGCTATACAAGATAGGGCTTCTCTTAAAACCGCAGCATTATTTTAATCATTTAAAAATGTGGTGATCACATAAGCTTAGTGAGTACTCATACTGTTCATGTGTGAATATGTAGGCGCTTCTTTGTACCGTTTGGCGCGTTCACAATGTATCTGTGTGTGTGTGTGTGTGCCATTAAGTGGTAAATTGTTTATTATCTAGTTTAAGTGGTCTGGACTTGGGTCACTGCTACCGTTTAGTTACCCATCACTGCTTAACCATTTACTCACAATTACTACACACACACACAGACAAGTTATAGTAGGAGTAAGCATCTGATATTGAGTTTGTAGGTGCCCAGTTGGTTTATGAATTAAATGGATTCAAATTGGAAAATTACACCCACTTTAATGTAGCCACAAATTGTCTGTATACATATATACACAAACACAAACAGTTGATATGCAAATAAAATCATATTATTCTGTGCATTGTTTTTGCGGGTTCATTAAACGCAAATTACTATGAAGGGGCGACTCAGACTTTCTTGCGTTAAATGAAGGAAATTTTGTGTGTGAAGAAAGTGTTGTACACAAAATTTTTAAACTATTTATTCTTTATTTATTTGTTCATTGCGATTACAAATACAAATTTTCTCGGTGTGACAGAGAGGCACTTTATTTAAACAGCGAGCTAATTTTTGCTACATATGAACAGACTAAGAGCTTCTTTAAGAAACTTTGCATATTAAGTATTTTTATCTAAATCAAAATTCCTGATAAAACATTTCTACTTGAGTAATTGCACAAGTTATTTTAAAAATTTGCAGCTCGCAAACTTTATTTTTTATTTTTTATTACTTATCGTTTTTGTTTTTTGTCTCCCTTAACACGAATATGTGCAATGCTTGAACTTTGACCATGGCTTAATTGAAAATATTTCATGCGCAAACACATTTCGGCTCGTAAATGCAATATAAGTGAGTTTGAAGTATGCCATTGCGAAGTCAAAGCAAATTTGTCTGCGTGTGGGAGAGTCTGTCGGCAACCCTCAATAGCTGTCCAATTAATTAATAATCATTTTAATAAAGAAAATTATGCGAATACAAAAGCTGTCATAGATTGTTAGCGCAGCTATTTGTTTTTTTTTTGTTTGTGATTCTTTTGTTTTTAGGTTTTTTGCCCACTCAGAAGCCAATATGAAGCAAAAGTGATTAATTGAATTATATGCGTTGATTACGCCACAGACGGCTGCAAGCTTTGAACAATCTTTTGACGTTTAATTAGATTTGCTGAGAGTTGATATTATCGAATATTTTCAAAAAATTAATAATCTTCAAAGCATCGATCTGAAAGTTGTAGATAAGTAGCAAAAATGATAGATGTTGCGCAAAAATGAGATTTTAGGTTTTGCGTGCTTTTAGTTATAAATAAATAGCACTTAGGAAGGAAGTATGCATCTACTTAGGCAATGGGTAATGAAGTTGTTGAATTAATTGCAGATTCCATTAATGGATAAATTTTTAGGTACCTCTAGTTATGTAGACTTATATATGTATGTATACGTATGGCGACCGCAGCGGTGTAGTGGTAAGCAGCGCACTTCCACTCCTCAGGGCCTGCTTTCAAGCCCTGGTCAAAGCAACACCGCAAAAAAAAAAATTTAGAAAAAAGGTTTATTCTTAACAGCGGTCGCCCCTCGGCCGGTAATGGCAAACCTCCGAGTGTATTTCTGCCATGAAAAACAGCTTCTC